ACTTGTCCTCGCCGGGCTCGGTCCAGAATGGAGAACCACACGATCACTTCTTCGCGCCCACGGAAGAATTTCGGAGATGCACCTCTGCGCCGCGCTCCATGCTGAACAACAGGAGATGGATCTGTTCGAGGAAAGACAACCAAGGAAGCAACAGCAGTTAGTCTTCTACACTCAACGAAGAAATGACAACAACCACAACCGACGCGGCAAGCAAGAGCACGACAACAGAGGGACTACCTTCGTGCCGCCGTTCTGCCACAACTGTCAGACTTCCGGGCACTCCAAGGTCAACTGCAACCGCCCTCGCGTTTACCGTCCAGCAGACCCACAAGTCGCCTCAACCCAAGCAAGTCCCCCAAGGCGCTCTTCAACATCTGCACAACAAACACCAAATATTATTAACTGCATGGTACACATCGACAACTGCGCACCCGGATCACCACCCACTTACGCACCAGACGAAGAGGAATTCCCGCCGCCGCGCTCACAAGGACTTCAGGTCAACCCGACATACGCTGCAGTCGCCAACGCCGAACCCACCGGGCGGAACACCTGGTTCTTGGACAGTTGCTGCGGTCAGCACATGTGCTCCTCCGGACGCTTCGTACAACACGAGCGACGCCTCAACCGCGACGTCGTCATCACCGTCGCCAACAACGAAAACCTGAAAACAAACAGACAAGGCGTGGTTCAGTTACAATCAATGGAGACAAACGTTATTCTTCAGCTCAACAAGGTCCTCATCGTCGACAATCTGGGATACAACCTACTAAGCGTAAGCCAACTAATGGCTAAGGGGATTCACCTGGAGTGCGACTCCTTCTCCAACGAGTTCCGGCTTTACCACGGGAAGGGCGGCCTCTTCATCGGTCGTGCCCTCCTGAAGTCCGGCGTCTTCGTGTTGGACTTCGTCCCCGACCGCGGTACTGCCGATAGCGACGGTATCGTATCATTCGGCGCCTGGACACACCCGCCGGATCTTGATCCCGACTTCGACAGTGACGGCTTCTGGCACTCCAACACCATACCTGCAGCAGAAAGAACACGAGCCTTAGCAGTTATCAGACAAGAAAGACAAGTACCAGCAAGCGTCCCAACAAAACCATCACCTGCAGCATCGGCAGCAGGACCCAGCCGAGTACCACCACCGACGACACGAAGACCGCCAACCGAAGCAGACCAACTTATGCCCGCCACACGAGAAGCCTGTCGAAGTCCCGCCTCGGTCGTCGCGTTCTTCTCCAACGCCGACATCTACCACCGCTCGCCCGGTCACCGCGCTCCCGACGACATCTGGCACCAACGTCTCGGACATCCTGCAAACAGCACGATACTACAAACAATCCAAGCAGAGGTGTTAGAACGTAACGCCCTTCTAACGACGAGCGGCCAAGAACTTCGCCGACCAAGAGCACGATGCTTCACGTGCCCCGAAGCAGATCTTCCTCATCAACCCTTCCCATCCCATCATAATCCAAGCGCGCCTGCATATGCAACGATGGAAAAAGTCTACAGCGACATCTTGAACATGCCTCGAGACGACACGGAAGCCGACTTCAACTACGTCATCACCTTCGTCGATGCAGCAACAAGATACACTTGGCATTACAACCTCAAGACGCGCGATCAAGCCTTCGATGCCTTCACAACATGGCTCCCCATCGCCGAGCGGGAATCAGGAACCAAGCTCAAAAGCTTCCAGTCAGACGGTGCCCTGGAATACCAGTCACAACGCTTCAGGACCTATCTGGCGGAAAGAGGAATCAAGCGCCTGGTGTCCCTACCATACGCTCACCAGCAGCAGGGGGTCGCCGAACGCATGAACCGGACCTTGCAGACGACGATGCGAAAGCTGCTCCTGGGGATGAAACTGCCCAACACACTGTGGCCAGACGCGATGACACATGCAGTCCACCTGCACAACCTGTTGTCCTCGTCATCGCTCCCCAACAACGCATCACCGCACCTGCTGTGGACGGGAAAAAGGGGCAGCACAAAATTACTTCGAGTTTTCGGCTGCATGGTACAATACAGACCCCACACAGCTCGAGCAGGACGCTTCACTCAACGAGCTCGGTGGGGACTACACCTCGGCATCGCCAAACATTTTCACGCGTGGAAGATTCTCGACATACAAGACAAAAATACGGTAGCATCACGTGATGTTATCTTCTACGAGCGACTGACGCTGCAGCATTACCTGGACAACATTGCCAACTCAGCCGACCCCACCGACGGCTTCGTGGGCCTTCGCTCCTTCGCTGACCATGCTGCCGAGGCTGACGCAGCAGAAGAAGACGTCCCTGGAGCCTCGGAGGCTGCCGGACCACTCCCCTACTGCTCCGTACCTGTTCCACTCGATGAAGATAATCCCCTCGATAGCAACAACCTCGACACCTTTTACCACTTCGCTGACCAAGGCTACGCTACACCACACCCCGTCGACTCGAATATTTCCGAACGCATCGGGCCAAACTTCTTACCCGATCCTGAAGACGGTGATGAAGCAGCTTATCCCGAGAATGAAAATTCCCCTCGACACAAAGCCACGGGACTGCAGATCCTAGGACTCTGGGTCTCCGTCCAGCACCCGCCGCCGCCATTCTCCGCGCGAGCCATCGACCCTGTCGCAGGCTCTGGGGGGGGAACATAAGGCGAAATGGAAGGAAGCAATGGAAAAGAGTTAAAAGCCCTCCAAGACCGGAATACATGGAAGTAGTACCTGACAACCACACCAACGGGAGAACATTCTCTCGGGGAAATGGGTGTACCGCATTAAGACCACCGCGGACGGCTCCATCGAACGTTTTAAAGCGCGATGGGTCGTACGAGGCTTCGACCAACGATACGGAACCGACTACACAGAAACCTTCGCCCCAGTCTCCCGTCACACCTCCCTGCGCATCCTACTCGCCGTCGCGGCCACGAAGAAACTACCACTACGGCAAATCGACGTCGCAAACGCCTTCTTGTACGCACCTGTGGACGCCGAAATCTTCGTCGAACAACCCCACGGATTCATCGACGACCCTTCAAAAGTATGCCAGCTGGAAAAATCCCTTTACGGGATCAAGCAAGCCCCACGGCTCTGGCAGCAGCACCTTCACGGCCGGCTCGTAAAAATCGGATTCCTACAGTTACCACATGACCAAGGCATGTACCGACTGCAGAAGGGAAGAGATTACATTCTGCTCATCGTCTACGTCGACGACCTGCTCTACATCGGTTCTACCACCGACATCGTCACCCGGTTCGAAGGGGAGCTGAAAGGGACCTGACGCTCACGGTGTCCGACTCAGTGACCCAGTACTTGGGACTAAAATCGTCGAAGACAACTCGGCGTTCTACCTACACGCTGGAAAGTACGCAGCACTGTCGCGAAGAAATTCGGACTAACACCGGCTACCGGCCTCAACTCCCTACCACTACGGAACAACAACAGCGCCTCCGCAAAACTCCCCGCGAACAAATCCAGGAGTATCAACAGAAGCTCGGCTGCCTACTATTGCAGCAGTAACCTGCCGACCCGACCTGTCCTATAGTGCAGTCAACTGGCGACGCATCTGAAGCAACCGGAACAGGAGATCTCGAGACTCAACCGAGGCCTACTCTACTTCGTCTCCACGCCGACGATCGGCTTACCTACAGCAAGGCGACAACACCGTCCGTACGACTACTCGGATACGTCGACGCCGACCACGCGGGAGATAGGAAAATCGACGGTCTAGGACGGGCTATATCTACCGACTAGAACCTATCGGAACTATCTCCTGGCAGTCGAGCAAGCAGGAGTTAATCGCACTATCCTCGGCTGAAGCAGAGTATATCGCCCTTTGTACTGCGACCAAGGAAGGACTCTACCTACGAGAGTTACTCGAGAAGCGAAGATCGCGACCCTGCCCACCTTCTCACTCCTCTGCGACAACCAATCTGCGATAAAAATCGCGAACAAGGACGGCTTCGCCAACCGAACAAGCACATCGCCCTGCGGTACTTCTTCGTCAAGGATGAAATCGCGAAGGGAGACTTCAACTCAGTTACTGCCCGACGACAGAAATGGCCGCAGATTATCTGACGAAGAAATTGGCGAAAGCAAAATTCGACTACTGCATGTCCTGACCGGGCAAACAAACGTCACCGGATCCGAACACTCAGCACTCCAGAAACGAAGGGGAGTGTTGGAAATATCTCAAGGACTTGAGCGTTTCTAAAGTGTAACACTGCACTCGAGGAAGATTACAGGGGAGCACGCGAGTCAACGGAGGTTACACGAGGGGGCGGACAAAGAATGCGAAAGGACTCGAAAGGTCGCAACTGGAGGTTGCGACTGACCGTTACAACATCACGGATGGTAACCGAAGCGGCAATCGAGTCGCTGTGCGACTCGATAAACCGTTCCTGTAACTGTATTCTACAACTGCTTTCTTATCTTCTATATATTGCTGTATGCTTGTTTCTTTAATCAATCACTTGTTCTCACATACTAGTACAAGGGTTCAACTGCCTCAACTTCCGCTGCACTACTCCAAGTCTCTACAAGCTGGGACTTAGTCTCTGCAAAAGATCCCAAGGGTTTTTTCTCAGCCCAACACACACTTGGCTTCGTCAGTTTAGCTGAAATGAACCTCACGAAGTGCTCAGTGTGACACATCTGCGAAAGCGAGATTAGTGAAAGGCTTTCCGCAGTTGCGACGGCGGTGTACTTGGGTCGAACCAGCCGCAATTGAGGTGAACTGGAATGGAGAATCAGGTTAACAAACTGAAGTCCCCCCTGGAACACAAGCGAAATTGCAGGAGTGTGGTGGGAGGGGGTTGAGAGGGGTACCTAGGAAGCTAAAACTTTCTCATGCACAATTCTGTCTGTTGGTAAACCTGTATATTGAAGCACCGTCCGAGTGTACTCACTCTTGTGCTTGTACCGGGTACGCTGCTCGTCTTCCAAAGCCCTTCCTTTCCCTCCAAAAACCGGAGTGTTCTCGACTTTCGCCTTCCGCGTTTCTGAATCTGCTCAGCTCTCACACATCCAACCCAGCCATGGCCGCCGCTATTCCAAGTCGCATTGACCCCACTTTTAGGTCTGTCTGCCTCGTCAAACCGCCGTTCACCTCAGCCATTCGGTTTCGTCCCCAAACTCAACTCATCTGGACCACCAAAGCCTGTGTCGAACCTCCCCCCCAGGCTCGTTGAACGTTCTTTGAACCGCATTCCCAGGCCGGTAGGTCTATTTGCCGCGAACTTTCGAGCCTTGGCAGTGAAAAGGGAAAGCGTGTGGCTCGTGTGAATCACATCGCGTTGCTTATTTCACCTTCTCAGGCTTGAACCAGCTGCGACTAGGTTTGCTGTGAATGAATTCAATCCGTTTAGTGACCAATCTATGGCTGGGAAACGAATTCAATTCGCCTAGCGACCAATCGGTGGCTGGGGATACGAATTCAATTCATTTAGTGACCAATAGTCGGTCGGTGGGCTTTCAACCATCAGCCAGCATCGGCGATTTTGGGGGTCTTTCCCTCCCACCAGGCCCGTTCGCTCAGCCTCACCCACCGCGTGCTCCCTCCAACGCCCATTCCACTTCCTCGAGTTTCTCTCCCCACGGTCAATCTAGATTCTCGCTACGCTCATTCTAGAGGAATTGTATCAGATTTGGTGGTAGCTCTCTGCACTAGTGGCTCTCCGCCTAAGCTAGCTCCACGGCTTCCTTGCTATTCGCTCTGTTACGCTACCAGAGGCACGAGACACATCGCGAAGTACTCGTCGGAATAACGCAGAGCAAAGAACTGCTCGCTGCAAAGAACCGCTCGCGACGAAGAACTGCCCGCGGCGTCCGCCGTGGAGAGCTGCTGTCTGCCATGCCTTGATCGAACTCGAGGGACTCAAGGGAGGCTCCGATCCATCCATCGAGCACCGCGTCATCTCTTCGGTAGGGATCACGTTAACGAGAACCGTTAACCATTCGTTTGTCCTTTCTTCAGTCTCTTGTCGTTGTCTTGATTGCTCTCCCTTTTTCATTCATAGCAGCGCCTCTACCCGGAATCGATGGTTCCTACGATTGCTTTTTGCCAACATGCCATTTCGTAACCGAGCTAGTACGCGGAATTACTGATTGTTCCTGCGATGTTCACCCTGAACTGTTTGTCTTCTTTTCTTTCGCCGACTTGCAGCTTCTTGTACGATCTGCGATGACGCCGACTCAGCCATCACCCTTGTCACTGTCGTCGTTTCCATCGCAACCGTCACCTGTGTCGCAGCAATCCCCGTAACGAGCATGGCGTCAGGCTTCACATGCTGTCCTTGGAGTGACGTGGAAAGGATAATTCCGCCGCCGACGATTCTAAACAAAATCTCATCGGTAAGTGATGGGGAAAAAACTTCTAGGGGGATCGAGTAGGCATCCGCCGTAGCGCGTCTCCAATCCGTTTCCTTTTGCTGAGTCGTCTCTCTCTTACTGCTACTAACTCCTCTCTCTTTCGGGCTTTCTATTTCACTTTCCGTTCTTCTTTCCGTGCGTGTGCATGTGACTGCGCCTGCGGGTGGCGACGTACGGCTGCTGCCTCATCAGACATTGATGCCGTTGCACGCACGCACTCGTCGCTGCCATCGCTACCGTCACGAGCGTCGCAACCATCATCGTGACGGGCATGGCTTCCCAACCCGTGATCGGAGAGGATCTTTCCGCCGTTGACCATTCCGCCGCTAATGTTACGCAGTTTACAATTGTTCCGCCGCTGACGATCCTCTCAAGAATCGTCATGGTAAGTGGTTGGAACTAGCTGAAGGGGGGGCGAGTAGGCGTCCGCCGCATAGTGTGTCACTTATCCGTTTCCCGCTGTTTGAGGCAGCTCTCGTTTTGCTACTCTCTCTCTCTCTCTCTCTTCTCTCTCTCTCCTCTCTCTCTCTCTCTCTCTCTCTCTCTCTCTCTCTCTCTCTCTCTCTCTCTCTCTCTCTCTCTCTCTCCTTCTCGTGCCTTCAATTTCTCTTTGCGTGAACATATGCCGGCAAGGGAATATGCAAGTGGTGATATCTGGCTGCTGCTGGCTCCTCAATCCCGCGTGAACCATCGACCCCACGGGGAGACACTGCTGACGAGCGCAGAAGTGTTGTTGACCCCGATGAACACGTGCCCGCGTGCCTCTCTTGACTCCAGTATCGGAGTTGCCTTGGTGAGTGGCAGGACGGTTTCGTGCTGCTTTGAGTCGCTCTCTCCTCACCTGAGCTAACAAACTCCGTTTATCTTTCGTGCTTCGGTTTTTTTTCCTCTGCGTGATTGTGGTAACCACACGGTATTAGTGCGCTTGGTGCCTGGTGGAGCCGTGGAGCCAAATCCAACTCGGTGTGGTGTAGTGTGCGACTTGCCGATGGACTGTGGGCCTTCCTGCGTTGTGCGACCTCTTTCGATGTGCGACGGAAAGTGATGGGATACCAGCAGACGACTGTTGGACAAGGTTCGTTTCATTCTATGCTCGCCAAATTACTGTCGCCAAATAGCTTTCGCCAACCAATTCCTTCCCCACCAGATTTCTTCGCCCTCACGTAGTCGCTCAAATTGTTTCCCCCAAAACCAATCAGTCGCCATCCTTCGCTGCATGCCTGCCGATCGAATTCCTTCTTCCGCTCTCATTCTCCTCGTTGTTGTCATATCCGAAAAAACGTGACTCTTCGTTGCTGTGTTTCCTTCGTTCAGATACGAGTGACTAAGTAACGATTACCTGGCAGCAAGGATCTATGCAGTGGCGTGCTACCGTCATGCCGCGTCGTCTAGTTTACTGTTTATCTCAATCTCCTCATGGCGAGACAGTCGTGCAGGCGTTGTCGTGAGGCGGGGATGGTCGTTCGCGCATCGTCGCACGGCGAGACGGTCCGGCGCGGGTGTCGTCGCACGGCGAGACAGTCCCACACACAACTGGATGGTCGTCCGCGCGTCGTCGCACGGCGAGATGGTCACGCGGGCGTCGTCGCACGGCGTGATGGTCGTTCGCTCGCGCATCGTCGCGTGGGGTGGATGGTCGTCCGCGTCTCATCGCACGGCGAAACGGTCGCGCGGGCGTCGTCGCATGGCGAAGCGGTCGTCCGCGCGCCTTCGATGCGTCCCTCCTCTTAGTCGACAAGTGCCCCTGGTGCTGCCGCTATCAAGAATCCTCGTCGTTGCATTATCTCCTTTCACTTGCTCCTCAGTTATACACGCACCACATTCGCATGATCAGCCCCCGAGGATAACACCCTCCTTTTCCTCCTCAGCTGTTGCCACATTTGCCTTTGCTGCCGCATTCCCTTGCTGCTGCACTTGGTCCCAATAATTTCTCCCATGGTGGATTGGAGTAGCTCTCTGCTGCTCGATGCCCATACTTGTTGCTGAAATGGCAGTTACCTCCAAAGCCCCCTTGGCTGTTGTTGTTCAGCTGCACTTATCTTCCCCATATCATTTTCTCCTTCTTTTCCTTCATAGTTTTTGCTCCTCGGGTTCTCATAGCAATGGATTGCCTTGTGCTCCTTTTTCCACAATAATAGCATGCTCCAAATCTCCTCGAAACGACGCTGCTGCATTCACCAATACCCGGCCGCTCCTGTCCGCCCTCGTATGCCTCTTCTTCCTTCTTTCCTTCAGCTCTCATCACTTCAATTGCTTGGAGCTTGTCCTCCAACTGCGTCAGATTTGTGGGTGGGTGCAGGATCAGCCCCCCCTTCTCCGACTGTCATGACTTAGGCAGCCCATTTCCAATATATTCCATCATCCGCTCTTCAATCTCGCCTTCTCCCATTGCTGCTAGCTCATCATTGTAGCTCTTTTCTCTATTCATGTATTCAATAATCCTCTCCTCCTCCCCCCATGCTGTGCAACAAGAGCCGCTTCTTAGAACTGAAGAATTGTTGAATAGAGAGAGAGTACAAGGGTATATACCTAAGAGTGTTGTACCTTTAAGAGGCGACCCTATACAGTCTATACAAACATGAGTTATACTTATGTTTGACACACCCCTAGACTGCATAGGGGAATGACCTGAACAAGCAGCTCAGGGCGGCACTACTAGTCCAAAACTCTGAGACAAGGGTCTAAAGACCAGTCAGACGGAGTTGAGATAAGGCAAGAACAAGACCAGGGCGGCACTATTAGTCCAGCCACTGGGAGAGGACACAAGTCCAGTCTGAGTATGCATATAAAGGACAGTACAAAGTCAAGACCCTAGCAAGTGCGAGGCTTACAGGAACTAGACCAAGTTGTACGCAGTGCCGCTGATGATCTATAGGCGCAAGCGCCTTCGTAAAGATATCAGCTGTGTTGGCACCTGAGGCCAAGTGTACTACGCGAGCCTGGCGTCGCTGCTGTAGCTCGCGCAGGAGGAAGTATCGCAGCTGAATATGCTTCGCTCTGCCCTCGAGTCGAGGCTCCTGACACAGGAGGATCATGCCCTGTTGTCAGCGAACAGGACCGGGGCAGAGCTAGGCCGCTCACCTAAGTCAGTGAGCAAGAAGGTCAGCCAGCGGAGCTCCTGTGCCGCCATGGCACCAGCGTAGATCTCAGCCCTCACAGCTGGACTGGGCAACAGATGGAGGAGCGGGTAGCTCTCCACGAGACGGCACCTGAGCCAAGGCTGAAGCAGTAGCCCTGGGTAGACCTGAGTGTCTCGGCATCGTCTGCCCACGAAGCGTCTGTGTGTCCAGTAAGGACCACTGGCCTACGTCCTCCTAGCACTAACCCCATGCCGATGTACTAGCAAGATAACGGCAAAACCCTTTTAGCGGCAGACCAGTGCTGCGGTCGGTGTCTGCCTGTGGCCACAAAGCGAGCCATGATGCTGAGAGGGTACGCGAGATCTGGGCGAGTGCAAGTCATCAGGTACATGAGGCAACCCACCAGCTCTGCGTAGGGGCCGCTGGCTCTACCGACTCCTCAGACACTGGAGCGGAGAGTCTGTGGTCTACAGGCAGAGGGGTGGGCTGTGCAGAGGAGAACTGAAGGCTGAACCTCTGAAGGACCTGGCGCACCAAGTGTGACTGATCAGGGTGATGGTGCGCGCAGCTCTGTCCCTGGAGATCTGCAAGCCAAGGTAACGGCGCAGTTCTCCAAGGTCAGTGCACATGTGTCTCTTCAGCAGCCTCTGCCTTCACGGAGGCTAGTGCGTCCCTGTCTGTTGTGGCAAAGACCAGGTCGTCGACGTAAACAAGGATGTAGAACGGAGTCTGGCCAGCACGAACGAAGAGTGAGGGGTCTGCGGAAGCCGGAAAGAACTGCAGGTCAGCAAGCGTAGCACGGAGAGTGTCGTGCCACTCACGGGAGCCTGGCGGCAGGCCGTAGACAGGGCGCCGCAGGAGCCACTGGGTCCCAAGAGGGAAGTGCCAGTAAAGCCCTGAGGGCGACGCAAGTAGACCTGCTCGTGTAGGCTGCCCTGAAGGTAAGGCAGTGGAGAATTCGAGGGAGTGAAGCTCGTAGTCACGCTGAGCAGCTAGGTTACAGAACCCGAAGAGTAGTCATCTTCGGGGTCGGAGCGAAGGTCTGGAAGAAGTCCACCCCCTCACGCTGACTGAAGCCTCTAGCCACGTAGCGCGCCTTGAACACAGACGCTCTCCAGGAGGGCGCTTCACCTTGAAGAGCAAGCGGCCATCGACTACGTTCACCCCAGGCGGGGAACTGCGTCGACGAAGGTGCCGGTGGATCTCCAAGATGCATCTCCTGCTCCATGCAGCTATCCACTGAGAGGCCCAAGGTCCCGAGGTCGCCTCAGCGTAAGTGCGAGGGGTCGGGATGTCGAAAGCGTCTGGGTCACCCTCAGGGACTAGCAGCATGGAACAGAGATGGGGAGCAGCCTCGGACAGGAAAGCAAGCTCGAACTGGCGGTCCTCCAGGACGTCACTGCAAGGGCAGGAGACACCCCCCGACAGACGGAGGACAGGCAGGGTCAGAGACCAGAGCGGTGGCGTAGTCAAGGCGGCGGGTAGAGGCGAAGTCAGCGACCGCAGCAACAAGAGCGTCAAGGCACGAGACCGGAACAGACAGGTCGGTAACGAGAGAGGCAAGGACCCAAGGATCAAGAGGACGAGCGGCACGGAGGTAGTCAGACAGCGGGGGGGTGCAACAACAAGGGAGGACGGAGGAGGCGATGGGAGAAGGGGAGGACGAGACGCGTGGGAACGAAGCAACATAGGGTGGGAGCGCAAGACAGGCGAGGTAGGACGAGCACGGGAGGGACGGTGAGACCAGACGTGCGACGGAGGAGTCAGGTCAGGAGACAGGGGAGGGAACACAGGAGGGGAACGAGGAGGAAGACGGGCCGGGACGAGTCCGGCGGAGGGAACACAGGGCCGTAGACGGGAAGAGGAGGAGACTGTCGAGAGGAACAGCCGCAGGGTTAGGGGACGGAAGGCCGAGCAGGCGAAGGGCTGACACCGGCGGGACTGCTGCTGCGGCGGCACAACGGCGACACCGGGACTGCAAGCGGCTCCGCGGCTACCACCAGCACACTCCACACCAGCACCCCAGAGGATCCACCCCCAGGGCTACCGGGACTAGCACCCCCAGAGTCAACGAACGGGTGCTGCGGCGGCGGCGGCGGCAGCGACAACGACGGCTGCAGCGGCGGCAGAGGCGGTGGAGGAGGGGACTGGGGAGGGGACGCTGGGGGAGGGGCGGCCGGCGAGGACTACGCAGCAGGGCCACCAGAGTCAGAAGACTCCTCAACAGGGTCCACCGACGGAAGGGGGGTGACGTGGGACACACCAGAGGGGGCAGGACGGGGAGGAGGAGGGGAGGGGCAGGGACTACTGGGGAAGGAGTGACCAGGAACAGGGGGGGGTAACCGGGGGACCGCGGTGGGGGAAGTGACGGTAGTAGGAGACGGACTC